CTGTCTGTCTGTCTGTCTGTCTGCCTGCCTGCCTGCCTGCCTGCCTGCCTGCCTGTCTCTTTCTTTGGATAATTTCATTTCCTGTCCTATTGCATACCTGTCCTCATAAAAATCATGTCCCCATTGAGCAGTTTAATGCCTCTGTCCGCCCCACTAACACCACCAATGAACCACTACCTTTGTAATGTGCATTTTTCCAAATGTTGCATGAGTAAACAATAGGAAACGCTCCTTCCAATAAGTTCCACTTTTGTTTATTATTATTTATTAGTTTCTATTTATTATTTGGACCAGAATAGATGTTTTGAGTCTACTTCCTGTTGTCATACAGGTTCTACTCTTTCCCCCTCATAAGTGAAATAATAATTGAAACCAGATTTCCCTGTGTCTATGTATTTTCTTTTATTATTATTAATTAGTTTGATTGTCTGAACCCTTTAAACTGCACAAAAAAACAAACAAAAAACAGAACCAAGCTGTTGGAGGAAAACTAATTTTCAGATTGTCCAGAATGTTGGGAAACAGGCTTAGCTTGTAACTTGCTATGAGACATTTAACCAAATACACGGTTGAGGTGACTAGTAACAGCTAAGGTGAACATTATCAGAACTAGGTCATAGCATTTCCAAAGCTGCAGCTCTTTCTACATGTTTCCCGTCCACACTAGTCTAAAACCCTTTAATGATATTACTTTATCTCTGTGTGTATTACAGAAAATCTGCAACAAATAGAAAGTTGTCCAACAAAGTTCTTTTTTTTTTAAGTTGATCTTTTTTTAACTCATAAACATTTCACTTTGATATGAAACTCTTCTGTATGTGTCTGTCCTGCAAAGGAAGGCAGCAGAGCATTAGAAAGAGTCGCTACCTGGGTAAACTCCCCCCGTTTCAATCCTCTTGGGTGAGCAGGCGTCAGCTGATTCTTGGCTCAATTCATTTTGGGAACAAAGTGCTGCTGACAACTCTGAAATAATTTGTCAGACAGATAGCCTGTGAGGATGAATCTATGACAGAAAATCAATCTGTTTAGTCACTTTATGACCCCATTAATTCCTCTAAGGTTTCAACTTGCAGGTATTTCCAAACAAAGGGCAGCAGGTCTTTTATGAATTACTCATTAATGACATTTATGTCAGTCTTTATACAGACAGTTCAATGTCGGTCTTTTTTTTATATCTGTTATAAACATAAAGAAAGAATAAATGTTGCAAAACTAACTACTAAGGAAGTTAATACCTAGAGCATCTTCATCACTGGGGGCTCCTCTTACTTCTTCTTCCTCGTTTCTTCCTCGTTAAGCACCATGGATCTCTTCTCCAGCTGAAAGGAGACAGCCGTGCTCTCCCTCTGGCTCCTATTCTCCTGACTTAGACCAGCGCCGTTACTTGGAACCAGCTAAACAAAAGGCCTCACACATTTTTATTCCACACACATGCCAACCAGTCCAGGAGGAGGACAGCAACAAGAGCAGAGAAGGAGGTGGGGGCTTGGAGCTCAGAGAGGGAAGGGGGGGGGGCACAGATTAGAGGTTTTGAACCAGTCTCTTTAGATTTCTAATGAGGAAAAATGTTCTTAGTGGTATTAAAGTATTGAAAGTACACATTGTTTTCATTTTTTAATCCTTCGAAAATTAGAAAAAGAATAAGCAAAAATATCCTGCACATCATGTTCAAACTGACATGGATGAAGACCTCAAAGGTGGAACAGTGTACCTTTGTAGCTGGGTGTTTCAGGAATGCTGCGTGAGTCGCCTGCATGCAGAGGGGGCTCATGGGAAGGCGGCCAAACGGCAGGTCACAAACAAGCAGCTTTGTCCTCACAGACACCGAGGATTATGAACATAAGCCTAAAATTCCTGAACAGAAAACTCTACAGGAAGTTTAACCACTTTCCTTCCTAAGCTCACCGACTGCAGACCCAGCATAAAGTGTGTCCATTATCAGGTAAACTCACTTTGACATGTAAGTTCAGTGCGGAAAAAAAAAAGAAGTTAACTATAGCCTTTAGTTTTAATTCTAACATTTGTGGGTTTGCTACCAAGAGTAGCTGAGAGATCCTCCCACCTGAGCTGTGGGGTTACCCAGCTCCTCCAGAGCCGCTCCACATTGCTTTCTATCTCTTGGAAGGCTTTTTATTCTGCAATACATCTTTTTTATATTCTTGATTCGAAACATTGCTTTAAGGGTCATGCAAAAGTTGGGTTGATAACTCAACTGTTGTTTAAGCATCTCAAAGATGTTCTCCCTGATCTGTCTGCCATGTTTTTTAGCCATCAGAAAAAAATGGATTTATAATAAAGCAAAATTCAAACTTTATGTAAAGACCCAGTAGAGGAAATTATGTTTGTAATTTGCCAAATCCTTTCACTAAACCAGAACTTTACAGATTTTTTTTTCTACTAGCGCAGAGCACCACCTGCTGGTTGAGTTATTATTAAGGGGAAAAAGTTATATTCAACCTTACACTTAATTAACTGGGTTGTTCTGCAACATTAGCTGACAATCAGCTAGGTATTTAAAAATAATTAGAAATATCCTTGAACAAATGAAGCAAGGGTCAAAGGGTATGTGAGATACCATGCTCAAAGACTGCTTCTGCTCCAATGAAAGCAAGGGGAGCACTATTTGGAAACCACAAAATAAACATAGAAAAGGTCAAGGTTGACAAAGCCAGGTTATGTAAAATAGTTCTTCAATGTGAGGTTCCAAAACCAAACTTAGAAAATCAATAATTGCAGCAGAAGAAAGGATAAAAAAGGGAAATAGTGCCAAAATTTAAACATTAATTTAGAAATTAACCCAATGAATTATTACCTGGAAACTCTTTGCCCATTTTTTGGGTAAAAATCTGGACATTAGGATAAAAAGCTTAGGAGTCACTAAGCTGAAATGTGTTAGAGGTGAGACGGGATTCCAGGAGACAGAGGTGCATTGCAACACTATTTGTTTTCTTTCCTTTTTTTAGACATCTCTTTGGACTAGTCTATCCAAATCTTTAAAGCCCAATGAAATACATCCTTCCAGTAACCAAGTCTATTTAAAAAGGATTCTTTTTTCAAAATCCATAGCTAAGGCCATAATATTTTAAAAACCCTGTCCGATTTAGATATATATTTAGATATATATATATATAGATATATATCTATATATATATATACATATATATAATTACATTTAACTGAAAGATTCATATAAATAGAAATAAAAAGAATAAAACGATGCTGGAATATGTTAACTAGATAAACATTGTTATGTTTGCTTCCATTTTAGAAAGACATTGAAATAGCTTATAATATGTTTCTAATAATTTCTGAGAAAGTTTCTATTTTTTTTTTTTTTTGATAAGAGGTTGAAGGTCTTTATCCCTCTATCCAAAATTGTATTTTGTGTTTTCAGGAAGCAAATAGAGTTGTTTTCTTTTG